TGCGTGTCATGATGCGATGTATTTTGAGGTGCAGGTAACCGCAGCACAAATACATCCACTTCACATGATGACACTATTGACGAAGGACACTCATTCAAAGACAACAACGTACAGATTCTGGCCACAGAGGACAGACGGTTTGAGAGAGGAGTGAAAGAAGACATCTAACTGGAAAGACCATCCCTCAGCAGAGGTGGAGGTCTGAGGCGTCACCTCTCACCTGTCTAGTCCTAAGATCTCTCCCCAGGAAGATGAATCCACACCGAGCCACAACAGACCCTAACGAACCCCACTGTGGCAGGAGGAGCACTAACGACCCACATAACGAGGGGGAGGAGCAACAAACATTTGAAACTCAGGTGTTGAAGGCTCCTTTAGGATATCTGGAAATCTAGTCAGTCAGAACTCTTGGATGAGAGGTGGAACGTCTTCAAGAAACTCACTGCGATTAATCTACGAGAACCACACTACTGAGTTCTCATCAGAGTCCAGTAACTCGGCTCTGTTCTGCACAGGCTTACACTAACTTCCACTTTTGTTTTGTAACGATGACTTACGCACCACCTCCGTTTTGCTTTCATAACCGGCCGTAGTACGAGTGATATAATGCACTCATGTTTTCAGCTGTCTGGAAGCAGCATGGCACCGCGTTCAGCTGCTGCTTGTGAATTTAAGATCTCAACTCTCTCCTCCGGCTGCAGACTGTAGTGGTGATGTCATCCAGAGACAAATCCTGGAGCTGATCCACAAACAGTGGAACCAACGCGGTGACAACAGCTGCAGTAATGTCACTGGGATGAAGTATGACTGTATCTGCTACTGCACAGCTGTGAACCCTCCAGGAAAATAAAGCTCGACTGTATGGAACATGTCAAACAATAGCTCTTTTTTTTATAGGATTACACACTAATGCAGGACAAATGGCCCAAATCCAGAAAGTGTCACCTGATGGCATCATTAATTCAGATGTTCTCTGATTTCCACCTAATGAGACGTAATGTCAGTGTTGGTAGATAAAGGCTCTGTGGTTTGAAACTCGTTATTCTGTGTGAGGGTGAATTCTCCCATTAATTACTGCAGTACACTGGTGTTGCTGCTCTCCTTGATGTGTGCAGGCCTGGATGGAGCACACCAGAGTCTCTCACAGCATCAGCAGCAGCAGCAGCAGCAGCAGCTAGCTGTGCATGGCAGCAGCTGAACGGACACTCAGGAGGTTCAATGACATTGTGTGAGAAACGCCTCTACGTGGCTGTCAAACACACACACAACCAGCAGACTCATGAAGCGGGCAGACTGATCTCACAGCAGCTAACGACACACACAGAAAGACGGACAGGGCACACAAACATGAGACAAATTAGCAAGCAGCGTGCTAACTTGTCCGTTCACTCGTTTCAGTTTTATCCTCGTCGCGGGAACCACAGCACAGGTTAGTGACACACAGACCTGTGGACTAGAAGCTAGCTGTGCGAGCAGGTGACTGCAGACTGAACAGGAAGGACCTGTGTGTGTGCCAGCCTGGACCTGCGAGCTAAAGCTAAGTCCGGCTAACAGCTAAGGCAGCTCGAAGTCCAAAACAGTTGGAGCACTATTCGGCGGAGCGACCGCACTCGGCAACACCACGCCCGGCTCCGGAGGAAAAGGACGAGAATTAAGAAGGAAAACAACATTTCCTTTGTCAGCGCCTGTGGACGTGACAGCGGAATGAACAGAGGTGTCGGTAACAGAGCTGTCAGCTTACTTGTTTGGAGCGCTGTAGAGTTGCTCGCTGACTGTCAGAAGAGTTGCAGCGAAGATTGTGTGTTTAAGAAGATGAATCACTCGGGAGTTCAGCGACACGCCTTCCGGTTAGGAATGTTAGCACTGTGTCACGCATGCGCGGTACTCCTGTAGCTGGACTGTGAGTTTATGGAGCCACAATGTGTGTTGAGGAATTTATCCAGGGAGGCAGCAGGAGTTTGTCATAGGGGTGGCAAACCAAAACCAAAAGTCATAGTTAAAAGCTATGTTAATATGAGACTTAAGAAATCTTACTTTGTTTTTTTTATTTTACAGTTAACTTTAGTATTTCTCTTATTTTCACAGAATGATGCAGGTAGAGCTGACATTTTAGTTAGTTATTGACCATTATACAAAACAACTAAGAGAAGCTGCAGTGTTTCTGAGGGAGAAAAGGTCCACCCATGGTTAAGTATTTTAATAATGATTTCAACACTGAAAATGATGTCCATGTGTGATGATAATTTATCTAACTACAGCCAATTATGGCACAATTAAATGTGTTTTCATTGTTTCTCAGCTACCTGTTGGAATATTTTTGATCGTTACTTTAGAAAATTATTTTGACTTTACTAAACAGGTCAGGCTGCTACAATAAATAATATTCAGCTCAGAATTCAGCTGCCGAACGAAGGATTTAGCTGCAGCTGATAAACTGTGACTTTCTGAGGTGAATAAAAGCTCACGGTGTCATTTATTGTTAGATCCTGATCAATCCATCTTCAGGATGATTTAAATTCTTGTATTATTTATGAAGTTTGTTTATGTGTTTTTTGTGTGTGTGTGTGTGGTGTGCGTGAATGCATGCACCTCTGTCGAGTTACTGATATGGATCCTGCTGCTGTCTGATGCTGCATGTATAGACTGGATAACAGAGGCTAAAGAAGCTCTTTGTTCTGAAAATGAATTTCACGGTCTGGAAGTGGTTGTTTGCCTCATGACAATCGTTAGCCAGAGATCTGCTTTGTGCTGCCGTCAGAGCTCATGACTGAAATATTGCCGCAAAAATTGCTGTCTTGTGTTTGGGCTGAGCGTATATGAAGAGCTAAACATAACTCCATCTTCACAAACCGATAGAAAATCCACTTTTCCATCATCTATGGCAATAATTATTAGACCACCTGTTGTTGTTGTTTTGTTTTTTTTTACAAAATCTGCCCAACAGGCCTTTAACATTGGTAAATTTGTTAGATATGTATCACACAAACACAGTGACGTGGCTCCACCAAGAACGGCAAATATTTATTTCCGAAGCTGTGCGTACACGTGTGAGTGTGTGTGTGTGTGTGTGTGCGTGTGTGTGTGACTTGTCAATAAGCACGCAAAGACTCGATTCAAGCAGTTACAAATCTTTAATTGTCAAAAGTTAACACCATCAAATAAATATTACTGTTTCTGTATTTATCATGTACAGTTTCTGTTTTAACCACGTTTCTAAAAATCTTTTTTTTGTTTGTTTTTTTAATGTTTTCAAAGTTAATTGGTTAAATAAGTAATAAAATACAATGCCTAAATAAATGAATGATGAGAATAAATCTGTGGTGGTGGACAGCAACGTGGAGAAACACAGGTTTTATTTCACTGACTACAGCCCTGACATTTAGCGAAAAACTTCCATTTTGCCAATCTTCTGTACATTTATTTGCTCTTGTTAGTTAATCCAGAGAAAAATGATCCTGACGTAAAATGGTTTTGAGAGGTTTCGAGATGCACTGCAGTTGGAATCTATTTAATGCGATGAAAAAAGTAACTCTGAAATAAATGAAGCAGCTGCTGATAAAATAATCCTAATTATGCACTGCGGGAAAATGCTTGAATGACCCCACTATCCGAAAATCTCACAAAACACCCTGCAAGTCCTGAAGGCTTCTTGCACTGCTTATTCGGCCTCCCTGAATCCTGCTGTACACAGAAATATAAAGACAGTTACCACAGGAAATATTATAGCGTATGGCAAGCAATGCTGGATAGAAAACGAGCACTGTGAGACAGTTTTCAACCACACAAATGTGTACATGGACTTCCTCACGATATGAAAAAAAAAACAAACAAAGAATGAGAAGAAATGGCATGGTTATTTGCATTTCAAAGATTCAATATGAGAGTAGTAGAGGAGTATAGAAGGAGTGTATAGACAAAATAGCACAAACCAGTAAATGGCACTCCCTCATCCAAAAGTTCAAGTCCCAGCGTGCATCTCTGTCTGTCAAGAACACAACGGGATCAAGAAATGCGTTCATTGCTTTCCGGTTAATATTTACATTTTAAACTTTTTGCATCTCTGTGAGTAAAGAGAAATTCACTCAGTTCGTTTCAAGCTTTCCGCTGTGATGCGTTCAAAGGCTCAGGCATCCTCGCTTGTTCACAGGTTTCCACATCAGGGGAGAAACAAGAGGTTTAGTGCTGGACCTATGAGCCCGCGGGGCTTTGAACCGCCACATCCACCATCCATTTTTAAATGCTTGTAAGTCTATCTACATGTGCAGCATCACAATATCTCAACTAGGTGTGCACGGCGCTCACAGAATTCCCCCGGGAGAGTCGAGGAGATGAAGAAGATGGCTGGAGATGAAGAGCTGCAGTAGTTTGCTAGACAGCTTGCATAGAGAAATCTTCAGTCATCCGCCCTCCTCCGCGTTTTATGCAGAGATCCACAAAACTACACAGGAGATGTTGACTTTTCCTTTGTCGCTTCTTTCAAATACATTTCATTCTGCTTATCATGTCAAAATTGCTTCATACTTGCTACATACTTCATCATTTTTGGCAGTCATTGGGAAGATATGTAGCACGGGAAAAGGATGATCTAAGATAGCCCTCAGTCAGTAAAGACACAGTAACAGTCAACAGTGTGTAACCTTACCCTTCATGTACGAGCAGAAAGGGAGGTTCCCCTACAGCCAGTTTAACATCTACTACCAATCACTAAATTATTACTACATTTGTGAACATGGAAACTTAAAAATTTAGGGATATAAAGTGGGGAACTCGGTTTGAAAGGGGTCCCCTCTTGCCACTTACCACAGCTGGCTAGTTCTAAGTTAAATCACTCCAAACCCCAAAACCCTAAATAAAAGTGAAAATGTGACCTCCACGAACAGTGAGCCTTCATCCAGCACATCCTCACTGGCGGCTGCAATAGGAGTCCAAATGATAGTTGGTTTAATGGTGGTGCTGGTGTGTGTCCGTGTGTGTCAGGGTGATGGGGTGCTTTGGGGTGCTCACACCTCGGTGCTGATGGCTCGGGTGTTGGTGTAGAAATCAGGAGGCCGGCCTCGCTGGGTGTCCCTCAGCAGGGAGCCTCGGACAGCGGGCAGTGGCATCGCCAGCGCCTGGTTGTCATAGTGTGTGGGCATGTAGGTGATGCGCTCGCCGCCGTTGCGCATCTCATCGGTGGTGCGGATGTAGAAAGGGGAGTCGTAGGGCGAGCAGCTGGGGCAGTAGCTGCGTCGCCCCCCGGTGGTTTTGGCGGGGTTGGAGGATTTGGGCGGCTCTGGCGGCGACAGGGACAGTGGGGTGACGATGGATCCGTCCAGGCCAGACACACTGCAGGCGTTGCAGGCGAAGTGTTGCTGAGAGATGGAGCCGCTGTCAGACCCATTCTTCTTACAGCAGTAGTACTACAGAGAGAGAGCTTCAGTCTGAGAAAGGTTCATGATGCTTCAAACAAAGATCAGCAAAGCCAACAAGACAGATAATTTCCAACTAAAACATCTGCTGTGTGCAGATGTCTTACAGTAACTCTGCAAAAAAAATAAAAAATCTCAGTCCATAATTACATCTTTAAACTTTGTTTTCTGCTTTGTTCCATCTTCACACTGGTGCTGCTTTTAATAACATCACGAAAAGAATTCAAACTGTATCGTAAACTTTAGCCATTCAGAGATCATTTGCTAATGTTTTAATCACGTGCACTGTGAACTATGCATTTCTAAAGTACCACTGAAATACAAAACTAAAATCGTAGGAATAACAAATAATTCTTAATGCTAGTGCTGCAAAATCATGTTTACATGTTTGATGAGACTTTGCAATATGAAAAGTATCCTCTGCATGTCGACTTATTTCTCACCTTCTCTTGCAAGGACACCATTAACAGTAATTATCATCATGTCTCTATGTTGATGCACTGATGGAGATGATCCAAGGTGATGCGTTAAAACAAAGTATGTGATGTATAAAAGACGCACAGCGAAGGCATACCTGGAGTCTACAGTAACAGAGCACAGCTATGATACACAGAAGTATCACTGTGGCCAGTATTCCTCCGGTTATGACAACAGTTCCAGCTGTCATCCGACCAGCTCTCCATCAAACTCTAACACAGGCACAGAGAGTCACATCATCAGCGAACGCCTTCTTGCTGCTCGACAGATTTGAAGTTTAATCAAAGAACACAAAGGTCAACATCACAGTGAGCACAGATGCAATACAATTAGTTCGTTGTAGGTCAAACTCCAAAGGTCGCTCTGTAATTATGTGGATATATTCAGACAGAAAACGAACACATTGTGACCTAAATCCAGGTTTGCATTATGGGAGAGTGTGCAGCTGAAATCTGCACCAAAGTGGCCTCTCTTCTTCAGTTAAGTGACAAATTAAAGGAAAAAGGAACATAAAGTGTGTTTGCAAGCTGTATGGCCACCATGCGCCGCCAGAACAACCCAGTGGGCCTTGGTAAAGTCCCTCATTTGGAATTTTTTGATGTTTTGATGGTGATCATAGAGAGCACTGCCTGAGATGTAGAGGTTGTACTGGAAGAGATCTGATGAATGTGAAGGCCATGTCTAGGAATGCACAATATTATTGGCGACCACATCAGTATCGGCCATTATTAGTGTTTTTTCCGATATATCGGTATCGGTCCGATGAACAAATTTAGCCAATGATTGTCTTAACATTAGTGCCTTTGTCTCTACATCTGATATCGCTGCTATTTCACAGATGTTTTTACTTAAATGGTCCTGGACTTGAATGTTAAATGTGTTAAAATATGTTTAATTATGTTTAACATTTGTTACATAATACAGAAGACTATGTGGTCTAATCTGGGCTTCTTTTGAATAGTTTTCTCACTGTGCTCACTTATACTCATTTTTCGGTGTGAACAAAAATTGAATATCGACATCGGTAATATCGGTATCGGCGATATCAGAAGTCTTAATATCTGCATCGGCCAGAAATTTTAATATCGTGCATCACTAGCCATGACACATGATTTACATCATGCTCATCAAACCACTCAGTGACCCCTCGTGCTCTACAGGTGTTGTCATCCTAAAAAAGACAACTCCAGTCATAATAGAAATGTTTCACTACAGGATAAAGGTGATCACTCAGTACAACCTTGATCTGCAGTGACCCTTTGCTCAAAAGGGACAAGTGAACTCAAACCATGCCAGCAAAATGCCCACAGAGCCACTGGAGGTGTCAAGGGTTCAGGTTTTATCTCTAACTTGTTGCCTGTCTGTATTTTCCTATTATTTTACCACTTTTTTTTTTAAAGCCTTTGGCGCCTTCATTGCAAAACTGAAACCAAGTTTTGCAGCTGAAATGTCTTTCTTAGCTGGTCTGACAACTTAAATACCAAAATAATGTCACTGAATCACAGCGTTCCAGTTCAGTAACAGAGTCTAAGATCATCTTAAATGAATAAAACTAAATTAATTTGCCTAGAATACACCTGGTTGTGATCATTACTGTTGATATACTCACGTTCTGCAAAGTTGCTTAACACCTGAAAGCAGAGAAATAACACAGGCAGTTAGATAGATAGATAGATAGATAGATAGATAGATAGATAGATAGATAGATAGATAGATAGATAGATAGATAGATAGATAGATAGATAGACTTACATCAGAAGAGTGTTTGAAGGTTGTACAGGTGAAGAGAATTCAAATCAGGGCTCAAAGGTGAGACGTCACACCGCTGGATAGCCACACTGTATGAACATTTCTGAAGAGAGAGAAGGAAGGAAGGAACGAATGAGACAAGGGTTTAGTTGAAGTACTCATTTCTGTCCACAAGGTGGCACCAAAAGAACAGAAAAACATTTGTGACTGTGGAACATGCCTTGTGAAACTCAGCACCCCCTTCAGTAACGACTGGAATAACAAGAAGTGAAGAAGAAGGGGAGGAACAAAAACAGACACTAGCAAAGAGACCAAAGAGGATGACCCCAACCCCATTTAATATTTTATGCTTTTATGAGTACATGTCAACTTAATGACATTAAAAAGCTCAACCAGTTCTCAATCATGAGTCCATGTTCAGTGTCATTACAAATTCTGAGCAAAGCAAAAAGAGAGTGGATCAAAACAGGAATCACAGTAATCAAATGAAAACACTGACATTTACTGTCTCAGAATCTTCAGACTCGCTCATTCTTCAGCAAAGTCTCCCCCATCCACACTGAGACGTCCACGGACACACACATGCAGCATCACGGGACAGCAGCAGTAAAAGTGATTTAGTCGGGAGGGACGGCGCCGGCTGGAGGATTTAGTCTGCAGGCTGAGGCTTGTCCAGGTGAAGTGAAATCTATTCCTGCTGATAAAAACATGTCAAAGCTGTGATTGGGCTGGAGGCGGGAGACACTTCGACGTAGGATGAGAAAGGAAGGAGATAATGGAAAAAAAGAAGGACTAAATGAAGTCGCACCGTGGCCACAGAAAGGCGTGCGGGTTGTTAAACACTCACAGCTTACTGCATGAGCACACAGAGCTAATTTCTCAGCCTGTCACATATGATTTCTGATGTTCGACATCTGAGTGGACTGATGTGTGCGTTGTGTTTCATGTGACACGTTTGTCCTGTAAATGTAATGTGATGGATGACGTCTGTCAGCACACCGTGATGGGAGAGCACAACAACAAACCCGTCACTCAGCGGTGCTGACCACCCGTCTGCAGGCAGGATCACTGCTCAACCCACAACAACACATAAATAAGACATTCATTCAGAGCAGCCGCCTCGGCATCTGGCCTATGCAGGATTTATGGTAAATATGAGATGTGTGCTGAGCTTCAAGCAGAGATGGGAAGCAGGCTACACAAGTCTGGTCAGCAAACTTCTTTCTAAACCTGCATAAAGGCTTTGATGTGAGGCGAGTCCCCTCTAAGATCCCCTTTGGATACCAGGCACTGTTCATTCCAGTGGCAGCGACTCATCAGACAGGAGCCAACACTTGAACTGGCAGTCATCCACTTCTTTCATATAATAGGAACCGTAGAGTCATTCTTGGCCTCCATGTCCACACACATGGTAAATGGTCTGCACTTACATAGTGCTTTTCTACCTTACTGGTACAATCTTTACAATGTGTTTTTCATTCACCCATTCACACACACATTCAGAAACCAGTGGTGACAGAGCCGCCATGCAGGGTGCTGCCATTGGGAGACACTACTTTGGGTTCAGTGAGTTTGCTATTAGAGGACAACCGCTCTGCCACCTGAGTCGCCGCCGCCCATGGATGACAAAAAAATAGTCTAACTTATAATGACTCCACAGCACTTGTTAATCTTTACATTTGGCAGAAGGCCTTTGGGCCAGTGGGAGTCACTGTGGCCACAACACCAAAACCGCCTCACAGCCCAGCGCTGTGTTTAGTGGCCCCACTGAAGGCCATCTATTCACTCAGACTGTATATATTGAGAGTGTGAACCCTCAGTGACATCGCTCAGGTTTCCAGAGGAGTAGTTTTGAAGCATAGTGTGATGGCTCCAATGTCCTCCAACTCCTAGTTAATCACAAAACTGTGCAAAGAGATGTAATGTGAGTGGAGCTGAGGTGGGCCATGCCCTAAATGATGCATCATTTTCACTCTTGACACAGTTTAGTTGTCGTGAACAAGGAAATCGGCAACAGGGACCAAAAGCGTTTTTTGTACCAGACTGTAAACATGTCTGCTGCTGCTTTAGCATTTTAACATGAGGTTCTATGGGGACCGAATCGCCTTTTGAACAGTTCTGCCTGTTTTTGGCGCTTGTGTGTTGATTAGATTTTTCTGCCTGTTTGGTATTTGCATGATTTTTTGGAAAGATTTCAGCAACTAACTTTGAAATGTAAAATGTATAAGCAGTGCTCTGTATGGTTCTCCTTTGAGACAACGAGAACATTCTTCTATGATTATTTATTACTCATTTATTCATAACAGCATAACTCCCAGCTAGTTATTTCCAAGCTGTGATGCAATCAAAGTGAAGCACATATATGAGTGACTGTAGTCCAGTTTCTATGAACTTTGGAAAAATGGAACTTCTGTTAGCCAGTCACAATAAACACAAAATCACCTAATCGCAATTATTTGAGCTGACCCTGATCACCTTACAATAGTTGTTATAATCCTTCCACCTGTAAGAAAACAGCTGGATGAAACTCACTAAAATGTCATGTTTCATTCATTATTTCCAGGTCATTTTCCTCCATTTGCTCCTCTTCTTACTGCTTTGGTTTGATGCCACCGACTGTTACTCTTGATGTGCTTAACTTTTAATATCTGACCACCTGCATTTTGATGAGCGTTCATTAATATTAACGTCGTGGATGTAGTTTCAAACCTGAACACCTTCGCATCGCCGTGGGCACAGTTTCAAGCCAATGACAAATGTCGATCCCGATAACTTACAGGATAAAGTTTGTCGGATTTGCAGCAAAAAAAGTGGAAGTCAAAGGCGCTAATATCACTAATCTAAAACGAATAAAGACATAACACAGACAGAAAAGGACTGAACAGTTAATCACAACTAAAATGTCATGAGCGTGACAGCCTTAAATGCTTCAGAAGCAAATCGGGCAGGTTCAAGGAATGGAACCTCAGTAGAAAAGACCCACTAATCGATGGATCCTGAGGTGTGATGAACATCTGTCTGGTGTCATGTTAGGAGAACCTGAAGCAGCTTCTTCACTGGAAACACAATGAGCTGGAAGCGCTGTCAGAATCCACTCTGAGGAGAAGAAAAGGAGACGGTGCTGCTCCCACAGGCTGCCATCTGAAACGCTACACTGGCACCGAGCTCATAAACCATGTTTCTGTCAGAAAGTACACTAGCCTTCAATTATTTGTGGCGACCAAACGGGACGGCAGCTGACACATTCCTCTTAACATCATTCATCATAACGCTCTCCAGTGCGTGCAATTTCAGGCTCGGTACACCAAACTATTTTTCATAATTAATGCCAGCACAGTGACTTGTACTGCGAGGAGGAAATGGAAGTGGAGTCACCGCTGTCACCACGTCATCCTTTACTCAGAAAACAAAGCACAGATCTGTTTTGATCTCCTGTTTACA